GACAGAGCAGGGGACTGGAGGGTTAGGCAGGAGGAGGGAACAGTGCAGATCCCTGGGTCAGCCCAGAAAGCCTGAACAATTTGGCCTCAGGTCCCCTGGGAGTGAGCGGATTGGACCCAGGGTCACAGCCCTCAGCCACAGCAGTATGCAGCCCAAATCAGGACACACACACACACACACACACACACACTCTCTCTCTCTCTCTCTCTCTCTCTCTCTCTCACACACTGTCACACTCATACTCACAGCCTGGTGGTTACTGGACAGGCAGCCAGCAAGTCCAGCTTTACAAAAACTCACCCGGAAAGTTCCTCCACAACTCCAAAAACCCCTCCGTAGCTCAGGAGCCCACCTCCTCCAAGCAGCCCTCCAGAGCCCAGCAGGCCCTGATTCACAGACGTGACGGTGCCCAGCACATTCTGCAGAATGGGCCCCCCAATCAGCGAGTTCTGGATGGCTACAGAGGGGCAAAGATAGGAAGTGGAAGAAGGTACTACAAACCTCTACTTCCACCCCCATCCACCCAGGACCCGGCAAGCTGCTCCTTTCCCATGATAGAATGGACCCCATGGCCACACTCCTGCAGTGCTCTGTCCCCTGCTCCCATGGCAAGCCTGGTGACTGTGCTGGCTCACTGCCTGGCATGGGATGGCAGGGGAGGGGGGATGGCAGGGAATCCTGTCACACCCCACCTGGAATCTGTGCTGGACCTACTTGCCACCCCAACCCCCAGATCAGCCAGCCCCCAGACCACCCCTGGCACACTGGTACCAAGGAGAGGCCCGGGATGGTCACAGCTCTTCCCTATCCCTCAAAGCAGATCCGCCCAGCCAACTGGTAGGGTCCATGATTCTGCCCCCATCCACCACCCACGCCCTGGCACACTACCTGCTATGGACTCACCTTTTCCAAGTTCATCTTTATCCAGCCGTGCGAGTGTGCCCACTGTCTCAAGTAGTCCCCAGCACGGAGTCACCAGGCCCCAGAGCAGGAACAGAGACCCCACACCCACCATCGCTGGCTGCACACCTAGAAGGGTAGAAACAGGGACTCTGAGACCCCCTGCATTCCCAAGCCTCTCCCCTCCTCGTTGTCCATAATCTAATGGGTACAATGCAAGTCCAGGTTACTACGTCTGGGGACAAGCGGTGGCTACACATGCGCTGTGCGGCTCCACTTCTGGGGCACTCTCCAAGCCCCTCCTGTACCAAACCCCCCTTCACAGATAGAAAAACTGAGGCCCGAAAAATGGAGGGGACTTAACCAAGGCCACAGAGCCCATCCATGGCAGCCTCTGTGGGCCTGGCCTATTGTGTTGGGTGACAGCAGCAGGGACAGCCACCTACAGGGACAGCAGGATGATTGTGCCTTTGCCAGCCACCTGGCCCACCTTGGTAGACTCCCCCAGGGCAGGGCCCATGTACTGGAAGGCCAGCAGCACTTTTCTCGGCCACCCTTGCCCCAGTAAAGGTGCTATCTGCCCAGGGTAGGCACCAGCCATCCGTCCTTGCACAAGGAGCCAGCAGTGGCCCCAAGTGCATTGGCACTCATTTCCCAGGCCTCCCCACAGTGCAGCACCCTGCAACCTCCACGCAGGGGTGAGAGGCCAGTCCCAATGCATGGCTAAGGGAAAGTAAGCACCCTGGAGCTCCAGCCCAGACGAACGCTGTCCCCAGCCCCCGCTGCTGTCATGACCTTGCACCTGCCCTCCAGCCTTTGCATTCCGCCAGGCCCAGCTCTGGAAGATGGTTTCTTCTCATTCCTAGTGGAAGTTCTTTTTGTTCGCATTGTTCAAATGGGCCAAGGGAAGGTAGACGGAGTCAGCAGCAGAGGCTCAGGGCAAGATGGGGACTGCCTCCAGCTGCCTTACCTGCTTGCTCCTGCCGTTGCACCAAGGGCAGGTGGGGGTTCTTGGACTCCCCGTCACCTCCTCCACCCACCCTAACTCTGGGAGTGGCCCTTATATGCCCAGAACAGCTGTGGGGACACAAAGAGGGGCCCAGCAGCCAGAAAACCGTCAAGATGTCATGTCAGAGGCAAATTGTGGTTTTCCCAGAGGGCCTGGGCTAAGCCTTCATTCTGGAGAGAGAGTGAGGGGGCTGGGGTCAGTGCCAAGGGCAGGCATGAGATGGCCCCTTCCTCCAGAGTTGGGGGCAGGTGCAGGGCTCTGCCCTCCTCCCTCCAGCTCCTCAGTGGTACCTCTCTTCCCACTCCCACCATGGCTCTGGTTGCCAAGGAAGAGGCTGAAGGCTGTCTGGTTCCCACCACCTGCCAACCCCCTACCCAGGCCTGGCAGGGAAAGAGCTGAGGGCCTGTGGGGGAGGGTCTGACTCCACCCCCACCTCCCAAGTCCAGCGGTGGTGTGGGGGATGGGTAGCTTATTCATTTACTCATTCTACAACAGACATTAGTGTGGCGCCTGCTGTTTACCAAATGCTGGGGATGAGCCACAAAGAGAGGAGTGTAACCATGCACCGCCCTGGAAGGCATATTTGACAAAAGGTGGCAAGAAACAGGTGGGATTGATTTAACCGTGTCACCGATGGAGTCTAGCAGAATCAGGCTGCTCTTACCTGCCATGTAATCTGCCTGAAGCGCTTGCCACACTTTCCTTTTCTCTTAGCACATTTACAAAAGTCTCTGGACACACCTCAAGCACTCACCCCACCAGGCTGCTGGCTGTGACAGCGAATGGCACAGCCCTGGAGGGCACAAACCCAGGAAGCAGCACATCGGAAGCTGGCAATGAAAGCAAAGCCAGCAAGGGACTTTGGAGCATGAAAGAGGGACGTGTGATTGGGGCCAGGAGGCCTAGATGGGGTAGAAGAGGGAGGGGTCCAGCTGGTGAGGCCCCTGGGGGTCCTGGGCCCAGGACAGATTTAGGACTTGAACTTTTTTTTCTTAAGATTTGTTTATTTTTATTTAAAAGGCAGATTTTATAGACCGAGTGGTAGAGACAGAGAGATCTTCCATCCACTGGTTCACCCCCAGGTGGCTGCAATGACTAGAGCTGAGCTGATTCAAAGCTGGGGGCCAGGAGCTTCTTCCAGGTCTCTCACATAGGCACAGGAGCCCAAGGACTTGGGCCATCCTCTGCTGCTTTGCCAGGCCATAAACAGGAAGCTAGATCGGAAGTGGAGCAGCCGGGATTTGAACAGATGCCCTATGGGTTGCCGGGGCTGCAGGCAGAGAATGAGCCTATTACACCACCCTACTGGCCCCCAGGACTTGGGCTTTTGCTCACAGGTCTTCTGTGAGCATCAGAGAAGCAGCCCCTCCTCCAAGAAGCAGCCCTGCTGGACCTCAGCTGCACTCCGCTTTCCCCTGCAGGATTTCTGCCCTGTGAACTGTCACTGTATCTGTGGCTGAGTCCCCTTCCCACTCCCAGAGTCCTGGCCTAGGAGCTGCAGGCATGAGGTGACATCTACCTCGTGTATAACTCGAGCTGTCCCAGTCAAGGTGTCGGCTCTGGGCAAGAATCCCACTGTCTATACAGCTCTGCCCTTGCTCTCCCACTCTGCACATTGGGTCTACAGAAGGCCCTAGGTGGCTGGGAGTGTACAAAGTGAACCCCCAGGGCCAGGCAAGGCAGTAGAGGGGGCGTCCCTGGCACACCCCGGTCCTACCACTGGCGCCCCTGGATTACCTGGGTGTCTGCTCCTGCCAGGCGAGACTCAAGGTTGCCATTGTCCCCGAGGCAGAGAGGTGACAGCTGATGGGATTAGGGCTGGCTGTGAGAGACTAGGGCATGCCCTGTCACCTGGACTTGTGCCAAGCTAGGCCAGGTCACACCTGCCAGGGCCCCTGAAGGCTCAGGGAGCACTGGCCTTTCGCCCCGGGGGGGTCTGGTCACCCCTTGGACACATGTGTGACCCAGAGACTGCCACAACCCCCACAGACCACCAGACAGAGACCTGCTAACAGGTGCAAATTCTGACACACAGGTCTCGGGCTCACAGCCAGCACCCCAACAGTGCCTGAGCCCCCCTCACTGCCTGGGAGGCCCTGGGTTGCTTTTTTTTTTATCAGTCTCACAGATCTATTTTTCACATGCCCACTGACTTCAGGGTTTATTTAGAAAGTGTATTTTTCACTGAATTACATGGACATTCAAAGAGTCAAATTCAAGAATAGCACCGATGTGAACCCCAGGAGCGGTGATGGGTCAGAGATGGCAGGTGCCAGGAGCTGGTCCTCGTGGGAGTGTGCGGCAGGAACACGGACCTCATGAGTGAGCATGCAACACAGGTGCACGCTGACACCAGTGGACACAGCTGACTCCTGCCCCTGCTGTCTGTCACGGTCAGCCACGTCCTGACCAGCCACGCTGTTGTACACACAGTTATCCCTGCATACTCGAGCTTAGCGGTGCCCAAGCACCTGGCACTCAGGAACCCACTGTGACCAGCATTCACTGGGCACCCCAGGTACTGTCCTGGTTTGTGCAGTTCTCACCATTACCCTGCAGTGCGCAATTCTGTTATCATTTCCAAGTGGCTCCAAGCTAGTCCACTCCACCTCTGTAAGCCCACAGTCTCCCCATCTGTGAAATGGGCACAGTCCTTACTAAAGAGGTGACACAGGGGTATTCTCTGGGAAGCACAAGTCCCCTATGCATATCGCCACCCTCAAGATCGGGCAGCACACAGCTGAGGGAGGAAGAGCCTGCCCCGGGCTAAGCTGTGACTTCGGACAAGGAGTTAACTCCCTGTGCCTCCATTTTCTTGCCTGTAAAGTGGGGATGGAACTCCAGTCCTCCCCACCTTGACCCTGCAGTTCCAGCGTCAAGTAAAGCAAGTAACAAATAAATGGTCAGCAGGTTCTCACTGTGTACTCAAGCCCACACCCAAGGCTTCCCTGCAGATCCAGGCTTCCCCAGGAGCCCAGATCCCTGGGAGAGAAGACAAACCACACATGAGCTTGCTACCAACACAGAGAGACAAAGGCACATCAGGCATCCAGCCCGGCCTTTCTCCCATTTATTGTCGAGGAGCCTGCCCACACTGCCCACTGTCCTCTCATCACGACCGCAGAGGCTGTAGGAGGGGCTCGGCCCACCCAGCTCTGCGGTTCCTCCAGGGGATGCAGGCTGCTGGTGGCGTGTGGGCAGCTGGCAGAGGGCATCCTGTCATGGTCAGTCCAGCTTCAAGTCCAGCACCAAGGCGTTCTGGTGGGAGGCAAAGGACCAGGGTGAGGGTCAGGAAGCAGTGACAGGGAATCCTCCAGGAAGAGCTGGAACTGGGTGTGCCACCAGGGATCTGACAACCGAGGATGCTTCAGGAAGTGCAAGGGGGTCTTGAAAGGCATTTCCAGGAACTCCTGAGAGACCCCATGCCTGGATTGAGTGCTTGTTGTTGGCTGTGGCTGAATCAGCTCAGGCAATTTGGCCACAGCTCTAGCAAGTCATTATCTGTCGTTTGCATTCCCATTTTCAGCCCAGGAAAAGGGAGGCCTAGGAGGGATGCAGTCATTTGCCCAAGGGATCAGAGCAAGAGGGTGGCAGGGGTCAACATCCCCCCGCCTGGGAGTCCCTGGCCACAGATGATCTGGACTCTAAGGGGCACGGTTTGCTCATGGAATTGGTGGATTATACTGATGGCCATGTGCCCTTCTCAGCACCCCTCACCTGTTAAGAGAGAGGCAGGTTCTTGATCACCCCTCCCTCACTGGCAAGAAATCGATGGTTGACGTGACTTCCCCAGCCCCTCCCCTCACCTCCACTATGTCCAGCTCAGCTAGGTCGTAGTTCACAGCTGGAACATCCGGGAGTGGGAACCCAACTAGGAGAACATCTGAGAAATACAGTGAAAAATCATCTCGGCTTAATTGCTGTGCAATTGATTAGGAGCGGCATTCTGGTGGTGCAGTGATGAATTGTTGATGTCTGCCAGTTGATTTGCACTTCTTCCCATCCCAGGTCAAGGTCCGAGTCCAAACTATCCACCATCCAGTGATATTCAGGCCTTAGCCTCAAAGCTTCAGCAAAGACCAACCACTCCCACCTGGGCTCCCCAAGAATGGGGCTTTGAGACCACGCAGGTGAAGTTCCCCCTATTGCTGTTAGTGCTTCGTGGCACCTGTTGGCGCTCTCACCATTGACAACTGGGACGTAGGCTGCTTGCAGATAATCAGCGACGAAGCCAGTTAACTCCTCCTCCTGGGGAGAGATGGAGAGAGCATCCCTGCTTCATCATCCAACCCATTCCATCTTTTCTGTTTTTCCTATGCCAGGCCCGCAGACCACTGGGACATCAGCACATTTATCCAGTTCACATCAAGACCCCACCTCACCCTGGCCCTACTGGACTGTCCGCTTAGGCCCCATGCCCTGTTAAGCTTCTGTCTGCGTGGCAAGTGAAGCCTTGGGTGGCAGTGCCGGAATAGAGGGGCTCAGGAGACAGCAGGTGGCCTCTGGATCTCCCTCCTATTTGTGCAGAAAACTTGGCAGCTTTGATCCATCACTCATTCACCACCTGCCTGTGCCTCAGGTCCCCCCCGAGGGTGAATAGCAGCACCTGCTCACAGGAGGGTCAGGTGGTTTGGGTGGCACACACCACACGCAATCAGCACCACTGTGTTCAGTGCCCGCTGGGCTCAGGTTCTGCACAGAGACTTAACGACAGCTTGGCCCACGCTGACAAGCACCCAGGGCCCCTTCCCTGAAGTCCTCAACTGGGCTTGGCAGAAGCCCCTGGGACACTCACATTGAAGTTGCCAACAGAGGAGGCCCCCCCGGTCAGGCTCAGCACTCTGCAAAGCAGAGGGGAAACAGCAGGTGTAGGGTGAGCAATGGCCCTGACTCTGGAGACAGGGAGCCCCATGCACCCCAAGCAGGAGTCCCTGCTACAGCCTCTGCTTGTCAGCCACCTGCACTAGGTCACTGCCCTCCCCCCAGATGGGAAAGTGCCCACCCTGGTTCCTGCAGCTCAGACATGGAGCTGGTCTGTGCCTCCCCTGCCTGAGCCCTGCCCCTCCCTCTGGTTCCCCAGGCCTGTCAGTCACCCCTGCCCCAGGACGACTATGCAGAGGTTTATGGTCCAACCTCACAGTCTCCTGGCACAGTCCTGCGCAGGTACTAAGACATGTTAGCACCCTGACAGGCAATGTTGCCATCATCTGGTGGCAGGACTCTCATGCCAGGGTGCCAGGATCCCAGCATGGCCCAGTAGGCTCCTACCTGTTCAAGGAGGTGGCCATCTGTAGCTGGTTCTCATGCACAGAATACTGGATCCTCAAGTTGAAGTGCTGATTTTAGGGGGAGGAAGCAGGGAGACACCAGGGCAGGGGGAGAGGGAGAGGTTGGTGCTCAGGACAGGCCAACCACTGCCAAGCCCCACTCTACCCATCCCACCCCTAGAAACTGAACCCAGCACTCTCCCCACCCCCAAACTCAAGCTTCTTGTCCCTCCTTGTCCTGGGCCAGGACCAAATCCACTCCCACTCACATCCCAAACACCTGGCCCGACTGTCAGTCCCTGTACACACTGAGACTGCTCCAAGCCTTTGTATCTGGCAACCTCTGCCTGGGGTGTCCTCCACCCGCCCCCCCGCCCAGCCTCCCCAGCATCGACTCCCTCCCTGGCAAGCTCCTGTCCAGCCCTCAAAACACAACCCAGCTATCATCACCTCTTCTGGGAAAGTCCTTTGTGATTTATTCAAACTGGACCTGGATCCCTCTGGGCTACCCCAGAGTCCTTTCACTGAAAGGGACAACTGCCCCAGTGGATGAGAATGGATGCTGGGAGACAAGATGGAGGAGAGAGAAAGAGGGCAAATCCACCCATTCTCCCATGAGCCTTTCGGAAGAATATCGTACTTACAATTTCCAGAAGGAAGAGGAAGGTGGGTGGCTGGCCCCGTGGCCGCTGGGCAGCAAACAGCTCCAGGGTGCCATGGAGGTGCAGGAGGCTGCTGCCTGCTTTGATGGTGACCTTGGGGGGTTTGTTTATTTTGACCTGGGCCACTATGGGCCTTGGCTTGGGATAAGCCTCAGCCACCTACAAAAAGCAGGACAATTGCTCAGAGCCAGTCAGTCCTTGGACGGGTGGCTTCCACCAAAAGCAAGAGTCCCCATGAAACAGGCAACTTCTACCCTGAACACAGAAAGTACCACACGTAATGCTGGGCTGTGTGTGTCAGAAGATGAACAAAATACAATGTCTTCCCACACTGGACTAGAGCTACACGGCATGGGGTAGCTACCTCCCCATCTCTCTCTGGGGGAGATCAGGGGAGGGTCAGATGGAGGGGCCATAGACAGTTGGGGTGCTCACTTTGGGGATGAAGCTAGCCAGTATCTCCGTGGTCTGTAGGAGCAGCTCACCCACCTGCAGGGTAAGAGTCAAGATTGGGATTATGGAAGTCTCCCACCCTCCATGTAACCTGACAGACACCTGCTCTGACTCCGTGAAACACACTCTTCGAGACTCCTTCCATCACAAGACTTACCACTCTGTGCTTATTAGACTGATAAGCACAGGCAGCCCATATCCAACACTTAGAGCTTTCTGTGCATAAGGTCAAATGTTGAGAAAATGATGGATGGGAAAGTAAGATGATAGACATAAGGGTGGATGGGTGCAATGAGTAAGAATGGGATGGATGAGGAAAGTGGATAAATAGTGGGTGAGTGGGTGGGAGAATGAGTAGATGGGTGGGTGGTGGTGTGTGGGTGAGTGGACAGATGGGTGGGTAGATGAAGGGTGGGTGATGGGTGGATGAATGATAGATGGTTGAATGAGCATGAGGCAGCCCAAACAAAGGTGAATGAGTGAAGGAATCTTTGGGGTAGGTAACATACACTGCTCACCCACTCAACCATGTCAGGCTTTGTTCTATATGCTGTGTGGCTGATGTGAAGGGGTTGATGGATGCTGGCTGGAATGGAAAAACCTGGACATGAGGGTGCAATAGCTAGATATGCGAGTACATGGATGATACTATATAACGAAGGTGGCAGATGGCGAAGGCGTGCAGGATGGAGACTGAACAGAGTTGGGTGTTTGGATGAGAAGTTGGTGATCATCTAGCCAGAGGAATGGTGGGTGATGGGGTCCTGCCACCTCACAGTCTTAGCAGTGCCCATACCCTCAGGACAATTCTCAGGGCAGACAGGCAAAGCAGGGTCTGCCATGCCAAGGGGCAGAGCACATGGAGCTGGTGCACAAGACAGCTCACCATTGGCTCCCGGATGTTCATGGCCAAGGACTCCTGCAGGAGGGCCAGCTCTGCGGTGAGGAAGGCAGCAGACAGCAGCAGCTGTGACGAACCTTCAGCATAACCCTCAGGGAACTCCAGGGCCTCGCCATCCACAGCCGTGACCTTGATGGTTTTGCCTGCGGGCTGCTGCACTACAGGCTGCGGGACAGCCACCAGGAGGCACTGAGCCTTGGCCAGCAGGGACAGAGCAACAATGGATGGGCCTCGGGCTTCCAAGGGAGTGGGGCTCAAACAGGCCTAGGCCATGAAATGCTTGAGGCCTAGAGGCCAGAGTGGCACACCTCTCCCAGTGCACTGTAGGTAGACAAACTGAGGCCCAGGAGGCTGGGGAGGTACCACAGCTCATGTCGCCCCCTCCCAGGGCTGCTCTTAGGGGCACCTGTCACCTCATCACCTCAGCCCTAGAGGTCTGGATGACAGCCCAGCTCTGCCTCCTACACACTGATGCCCCCTGGCCAAACCCTCCCCACTTGGGGCTCTGTACACCACAGGGCAGAGTGGTGAGTGAGCCCGTGGAAAGAAGCCAGCAGACAGGCAATGGTGTAAGCATACAGCTGGCAGCCCTGGGAGCTTGGGGGGGGCCCGAGAGGGGCAGGGAGAGGAGCAGAGAGAGGGGCCCAGCACCAAGGGAGCTCCTGGGGACCTCCACCTCCACAGCCCTGTCCAGTGACATTGCTGCTGCCACCATGCCAGTGAGCCCCAGACTCCAGCCCCCAGGGGCACCGGCACTCACACTGAAGTCCACCTGGATGAAGCTGACCGTGGTGGTTGGGGGGGCTGCCAGGGCATATCTGATGGTACCCAACTGGCCCACAGGCATGGGATCTGTGCCAAGAGGAGGAGCCCCTCAGAGAGGTGCCAATTCTAGATGTCCCTGGGAGCTGGACCCTCCCCCTGAGTGGTCCAAGCCCCATGTCTCTGGGCCTCAGGAACACCAGCAGGAGAATGAGCTGAGAGTCACAGCCGGCCAGCCCAGAGACCCCGGGTTCTCACAGCAGATGGGGCCAGGGCCAGAGCTGAGGCTCACAGTTGAGCAGAAGGAGGCTGGGGAGTATTTTGCAGCCACACTGCCGGGGAGGCCAACTGGTTTCCTTCCCTTCCCACCATGGGAATTTTCTCTATCCCACATTGGCAGGGTGGGAGGGGGTGGCTGTGGACCCCCCACTGATGGACGCAGCAGATGCACCAGCGAAACACAGTCAGTGTGACCAGGCCAAAGGCAGGGCTGGCAGGTGAGTGCAGACTGGCCAATGTCCTTGCAGTCTTGAAGGACACTGGATTGAGAACACTAGGATCCCAGCCCTCCTCTAGTCCCAAGGCAGGGCCAGAAAGAAGTAGAGCGACTCCCCTTCAATGTCCCCCTATAGGGGCCAGGTGTCTCCAGGGCTCCACCCACCATTCAGGTGCTCCCAGTTCCTGTTCACATATACTAGGACTGCATCGATGGCTGGGCACAACTGCAACAGAAAAAGTACTGGGGTAGGAGCGTCTCCTCAGGCAGGGCTCAGTGGGCTTCCTGGGGAGTCCCAAGAACCCAGGGATCAATGGAGACAGGGATGCCCCAAGTCACATAGTCGAAGGTAAAGCCTGATCTAGAAGCCAGATCTCCAGGCTGCAATCCACCAAGCCCACAAGGAAGCAAGGTGGGTAAGCTCCAGCCGACACTTCCCCTGTCTGCACTCCCAGCAGACATAGCTAGATGATCGCAGCACCTCTCCCACCAAGCCAGCCACAATCTTAGAACCCTTCCCAGCTACTCTCAACCCATTGGGGTCAGCTGCTCCTCCAAGAGAGCCCCAGACACTCACCAGGTTCGGAAGGACCTTGTGTAGGGTGCTGTCCAGGAACTTTTTGACCATCTTGGGCAGCATGCTGGACACAAGTGCCACAGGTGGTGCCAACGGCAGGATACAAAGCGACAGGTTAAGAAAATCCAGAGGCTCAGGAAGTGGGGAGATGGGGGCACGCATGGCATGGGTGCCCTGGCTTCTGCCCCAGCCCCCAGAGCCCCTCACTTGCTCGGCAGGTTGGTCTTCACGCTGACGAGGGTGATCTCACAGCCCTCGCTGCTGAACACAGGGAGCCCCGTCTCCTCTCCCCACGCAAGCCGGTTGGTGGCGGTGATGTTCAGGACGATGATGATCTCCATGTTGCCTCCCATGAAGCTGGAGGGCAGGATGGGCATACACCCTGCACATCCATACCCTCCATACCTGCTCCAAGGCCACCATCCCACCAGGCGTCTCCTCATTGTCCATAGTCCCAGCAGTATCCAGGGAAGGGCGAGGACCACTCCCAAGGTCACACCACCAGCCTTCCCCTGCCTCTCTTGCTTGCATGAGCTCCTACTTGGCCTGCAGAGCCCCCTCAGTGGCCCTCCCTTCCCCAGAGCCTTCTCTGATGCCCCAGACTGCCCAGTGCTTCCTCCATCCTAGCCCAGTTGTTTGGTGTGTGACTATACTTGCCTAGGTCTGGTTTCCCCATCCTGGGAGGAGCTGAGCAACATCACTTCAGATCCCAGCTGGCACATGCTGGTCTCCAGCCAAGGGGCACATCATAGTGACCAGGGAGGCCACTCCCCCACTCCCTGGGTCCCCTCACCTCTTGCCGGTGATGGTCATGCCAGTGGACACGCACTGGGAGATGCCCACTCCAGGGACAAACTTCAGTGTGATGACAGGCAACTGGACGTCCTTCACTTTCATACTGGGAGGGGACAGGCACCCGCAGCCATGAGAAGTGAGCATGCAGGACCCGGGTTCTCCTCTGTCCCCAGTGGGGTGGCCCTGGAAAAAGCCCCTCTCTGTGCAGAGAGGACCTGGAGGCAACATCACTCTCACTTGGCGATATCCCTAAAAGTCATCAGTTGAGAGACATGGCACACAGAGCTCCACCTGGCAGGCATTGCTAGTGAATCACAGTTCGTCTGCTCAGTCCAGACAGTGCCTCTAAGCCCTCCCTAAAGCCTCAGCCCCCCCAGTCAATCCTCCCACCATCAGGCGATGGAGGTCCCTCTCTAGTGCCTCCACCTGAGAAGCTTCATGTCATGCATATTCAAGAAGCTCACATCACATGCCGGGACTTGGGGTTCAACTTTTGACTCTCCTGCTCTCCTCAAAACACCCCTGCTCTCCATGAGACAGAAAGTGTCCCCAGTGGTGGATGAAAGAGGCCCTGCCCCTGCACCAGCCCACCTGCCCAGCCACTCACTTGGAGATGCCTTTGATGGGTTTCATCCCCGGCTGGGGCTTGCCTGCCTCTGCAGCCAACTGCTCCAGGATGTGGCTCTCATCCATGGCGCTCTGCACCTCTGGGGAGGCAGAGGAGGGGAGTGTTCAGGGAGACGCTTAGTGGGGCTGCCCCTTGCCCCTCTGCCTGGGACAATCACTCTGCCCCACTTGGGCTGGGCAATGCCAAGAACCCAGAGATGAGTCCTGGCAAACTTACCCTCCCCTAGCACTGACGGGTAGCAAGAGCCAGGGTGGGGTGGGCACAGGATGGGAGCCATGTAAGGGGTACAGTCCAGGAAGGGGAGCATTACAGAGGGCTCCCAGGAGGAGGCACCATCTCCCTCCATCCTTGAGGGAGAAGCAGCAACTCTCTCTAGCAAGCAGAGATGAAGACTGCCATCTTGGGCCGAGAGCACAACGAGGGCACTGAGTGGAGGAGGGGAGGGAAGTGTGATGACCCCCACAGGCCTAGGGGTGAGGGGAACCAGGGCAGAGGGGCAGGGATCCTCCTCGGCCACCAGCTGGGAGAGCTCTCACCACTTCTGACCTTCAGGACACAGAGATTACTCATCTGTTTATCTGAGAGAGGACAGAGCTCCTGTCCGCTGGGTCACTTCCATAAACATCTACGACAGCCAGTGCTAGGTCGGGCGAAACCTTGAGCTAGGAAATCCATCAGGACTTCCCACATGGGTGGCAGAGACCCAGGCACCCCGAGGCCCTTGCTGCCTGCCTCCCAGAGGCCCTGGAGGACACTGGCCTGTGGGCAGAGCAGGCACACCAGCACAGGATGCACGGGTCCCAGGAGATGGCTCTCCCACCTGGCCAAATGTCAGGGGATTGTAACCTCACATTCCACTTAATGCTGGTTGGTCCCTATGGCCGTCCCTTTCATTGAACTCTATCAGGTGAGCACGTGGCCACCCAGAGGGCAAGGGATTTGGCCAAGGGCACACAGCAAGTTATTGACAGAGCTGGACTGTGACCCATATCTGTCACCCCCCAGAGGACCCCTGTGGTCACCAGCCCCTGCTGCTGGGGCCAAGGAGAGACTCCCAGAGAGTAATCATTTCCAGCTCTGCTCTCTCACTTATGGGAGGAGCTTGGGTAAATTCTCAGTTTCTTGGGGTCTCAGTTTGCCCCCTCTGCGAAATGAGTGAATAATACTACATTGCTGACACGTTTATTTTGATCTCATGGCCTGTTCAAGACCCTGAGACCACGAACAATCTCCCCCACCACTACTCCACACCCCACCCTCTAGCCCCACCCCAGGGTCCACAGACTCACCATGGTTCATGACATCCATGCCCAACCGCAGCAGCACCCCAGGCTCAGCTTGCACGCCAGCCAGCAGGCTGCAGAGCGCCACCCATAGCACCTGCCGCATGGCTTCCCCTGCGTCGAGAGGCCTGGATTGGGCACGGCCCGCCAGGCCCTGGATCCTCGAAAGATCTCGCATGCACAATGGGTAACCTCTAGAGGGGACCAGGGGGTCAGGAGCCCCTGGATGACCAGGGCCTGAGGATTACCAGGTTAGCAAGCTCACTACCCTCTCTAAGCCTCCAGCCTCCCGTAAGCACAGGATGCTCAGAGCTGTCGCAGCTGCAGGTGGGTCAGGCTATGCTGGGGTCCTACACAGAGTCCTGCACAGAGGGGCACGGGGTACCCAACATCCAGCCCGTGATATCCCCCTCACCCAGTTAGGCCTCACCTCCACAAGGAGCCCCGAAATCTTAACTCAGAGTCCCTGGAAGTCTCTTGAGAAAGTGCTTTGCCAGTGGGTAAACTGAGGCACCCTCAGGGTCTCACAGCCAGTGAACAGCAAACTGAATGAAGCCTTCCCACCCGAGACCCTTACAGTTTCCCAGGAAAGCCCTCCCTGACCCCTGACCCTCATCCCAATCTCTTCCTCCCACTTACCAAGTTCTGACGTTTGTTCAAGTAGGGTCAAGTGTATATCAGGGCCACCTTTCCTTTGAAAAGAATCAAGGAGCGGTGCTCCGGGGCCAAGCCTGCACTGGCCCGGAGACAGGTCACTTCCTGCTGGACCCTTGTGGGCAGCAGGCTTGGGTCGTGAGCACTGCTCATCCACAAACACCTGCCCAGTTGCAGTCTGAGCCCACACCTGCGTTCTTTCATTTGTTAGTCTCATTAATCTCGGGGTCTCAGAAGCCTGCTCTTGGTGCTGCTGCAAAAACAGCCCCGGCCCTGGCAATACCCTCTCCTCCACTCCAGCGCCCCTTCCAACATCACTGTGGACTTGGGCACAACCATCAAAATGTTCCCTCAGCCACATGTATGCAGGTAAGTGCCCAGTCCTGGGGCCAAAGCTTAGGGATAATCATCCTAGGGGCATCATGGGGTTCTGTGTGGGGTGGCCAAGCTGGAAGGTACCTGGCAGAGGTCTCCACGATGGGAAGGCCGACCAGTTCCCCATCTCATGTTTCCAGACCCCCAGTTCCAAACCCAAGTCTCCATGCAGGCTCCTCTTCCCTCATGGGACAAGAGGCAGTTTTGGAGTGACAAGGATGTACGGGAGGAGTTCTGTCCCAGGTTTATAGCACCCCTGCCCTCCGCCCTACATCACCTGTGTGGCCCGTGCACCTCAGCCCCACCTGCATCTGCCTCAGAGCTCAGTTTGAGCCTGACCATGACTGCAATCCATGTCACTCATGGGAGCAGGAGGGACTTCTGTTCCCCCAACACCTCCTACTCCCCCTTCAGCTCATTTTTTGTCTTCTCTAAGATTCACTGCCCTGGATCCCACCCGTAGGAGCCTAGTCTAGCCTCAGCCTTAGCTGGAGTACAAGAGACCTGTGGGACCTGCTGACCCTTCCCTTGCTGCTTCTAGGACCCCAGGCACCTACAGTGTGGTGCCTGTGTGGTGGGGCGCCCTGGGCAGGGGGTCAGGAAGTAGATCCAAGCGCTGGTTCTACTGCCCAGTTGTTATATGAAGTCAGGCAAGTCTCCCTCTCTGGGTCTTAGCTGCTTTGCAAAACTATGGGCCTGGGACTCTGCTGGGGTAAGCTGCATGGGTAGGAACCGCCCTTACCGTGCTAGGCTCGGAAAGTCCCACAGACAGCAGACCCCTGAGCTGGGGAAGCCTTTATATCCCAGAACCTGATTAGCTTGCTTGGGTGGTTAAGGGTTTAGTAAGGCCCAGATAATCATCTAGAAGCCTATAGAGCAGGTGCCTGGGACTCATGTGACCCGTCAGTCTGTTCCAATGTAAATAACATAGAGGGCGAGCCCAGTGACCTCCAAGGACGGGTGATGTGGACAGAACATGGCTGCCCAAGCAGGTGCCTGGGTCCACACTGTGACCTCTTCAAGGCCCAACACCAGCCACAAGGCTGGACACTCAGTAGGTATGCATGCAGTCTTCAACAAGCATTTGTTGAACATTACTACGTGCCGGGTCTATGAAGGTCACAGAGAAGTGACCACAGTGAACCAAGCAGGGGATCCTGCCCTGAGAGGGCTCTCGGGACACTCCCCAAGTCTCCAGTCACAAAATCCATTTCTTCTGGAGGGCAGTGAAAGTGAGGGGAGATGGGACAGAGAGAAGGAGCAGAGTGACCCTCAGGGCCAACGATCCCGGGAGGCGAGCATTGGGGTTGAGGCCAGCAGCTAGTGCAGCCAGCTCTGTGGGGTGAGGCTGGCAGGGGGTGTGTGGGGTGTGGATTATCATGAGCCAGGTGGGACTGAGAGCGCAAAGGTGGGGAACACACAGGCTGGACCCAGCAGTACCTGAGCCCTGGAGCCCACCTCCCCAGGGAGCTGATAGCTGGGAGGGTGTCCCCAGAGGAGCTTCCTGGATGAGATGCTGGGGACGTGGCTGGTGCCAGTCCCCAGGCCTCAAGGTCCATGTCCTGGGGACAGTGCAGGCAGGAGAATCTTGGGGTCACAGAGTGGACCAGCCCCAGTGCTGGGGTTTCAACAGAGCCTTGGGGTGCCCACCCTCTGTGCAGCTTGGCTTAGGGTCCTCTTGAAGGTGTTTATGCCTACTGAACCACCCTGGGGAGCAGATGGGTAAAGGGGTTCCCTCCCCACTGCTACAAGCATGGCTAGAGGAAGTCATTGTGCCATGGCATGTGGGGCCCTTGCGGCCAGGGGAGAACTTTGGAGGAGCCCCTGATGGGGGTTCAGGAAGAATAGCATCTAGGTGGAGATAGGAAAAGCCCCTGAGTTGGGGTTCAAGAATCTGAGCCCCATCCCTGCCACTGGGCTTGCAAATTATGAGACTGCCATTTCGCCCTCTTTATGCTGGGGGAGCGGGGAGCACTGTGGTGCTGATTACAGCAGAAGTGGGACACAGGTACCGTGTCCTTGACCCAGGCCCAGCAGGGCGTGCAATGCTAAATAGGTACTAGGCTGCTTAGTCCACATGGCTAGCCAGGGAGCCAGGGGCACTTCAGCAACTTTCTTCATTTGGGGTTCAGAGTGCTCAAGCCATTTATCTGTGGATGCACAGCAGGTGAGCAGCGCAGCTGGGGTTACCAAGCTGGGCCCACAGAGGAACCTGCCAGGTATCCACAGTGGAGCTTCTGCCACCACCCCCTCCTGCCTGGCTCCCTTCAGCACCCTCCCTGCCCCTCCAGGACCAGCTGAGCTGTCTCTAGAGGGGCCCTCCCCAACCCCACCTGTGGAACAGAAGATTATGCTGGTCCTGTTTGATGCCATCCTTTCCTTGCCCTCAGACCTGCTGGGGACCCCAAAAAGATGGAGCTGAGCCCAGCAGTCTCGGGCACCCCGGGCATCGGGCTCCTCGGTGGCCTGCCAGGGGTAGGAACAGCAGCAGCCCGCCTGGCATGAGTTCCAGTATAGACACACATGCAAGCTGCTGTTCCCTGCACATTTATCATGCACTTGCTGTGTGTCAGGCCTTGGCAAGGGTCAGAGAGAAGAATCAGAGGCGGGTCTACCCACAGGGGTGGAGGGGCAGCTGGCGGGCATCAGAGTGGCTGGAAGAAGGGAGAAGGACAAGGTTGTCCTACCACTGTGGCCAGGGGAGGGCGCACTTGAGCTGCTGTCTGGACAGGCTTGAACAAAAGCATCCTGGATGAATCCAAGGGCATTGGCATTGAAGAGAAAATGGGCAGGGTGCATGCTCACAGTTGAGGGTGCCCACACAGGGCAGAAGACACTGCTTGGGACACCCAATCCCACATCCAGTGCCTCAGGTCCTGGTTCTACTTCTGATTACAGTTTCCTATTACTGTGCATCCTGGGAGGCAGCAGGAGGACAGCTCAAGTGCATAGCTGCTCGCCCCCCCCGCCCCCCGCCCTGCCACCGGCCACTGACATGGCAGACCTGGATGCAGTTCCAAGTTCCTGGCTTTGGTTCGGCCCTGGCTGCTATGGACACCTGGGGAGTGAGCCAGTAGACAAACTCTCTCTTTCCAATACAAATAAGCACGAACACTAGATAAAACAGGTGGATGTAATGCTATCCTCTTGCAGGAGAAGGCACTGGAGGGGAAGTGCCATGGAAGGGGCTTCCTGAAAGTTCCAGAGGTAGGCAGGTGAGCAGTAAGGAAGCAAGTTGGTGAAAGGCAGTTCTTCCCAGCAAAAGGCCCAGAATCCCAGCTCTGTGACCACTCACATCCCCAACCTGGGGTCAGCCCTCTGTGCCCTCCACAGAGAACCCCAAGATACCTGGCAGCTGTCCCCACTGGGTGACCACCCTGAAAGCCGCTTGCCCATGCTAGCACCTGGCCTCTACTCTGAGTCCCCTGGGAGTCCACCTTGCAGCCATTTAGGACCCACAGTACCACACACGCCAGCATTTGTTCCATCTATAGGTCTCAACCCCAACTCTGACCCTCCCCATCACGGTGACCACATGGCTCCCAAGATCTAGTTGCCCATGTTCACCCAGCAACCCATGGCTAACACTGACTTGGCCACCAGAGAGCTTCCATGCTGTCCAGGGTCCTGAACAATACCTTCTCCCAAAAGCTCTGGGACCCCGCTTGCACCCTCCTTGCACCCAGAGCACCCGGCCCTGCCTAATATTCTATGGATGCTCTTGTACCTTGGTGAGCAGCTCTTCACATTGAACTTGCCCTCTCTAAATTCCTGTGGGGTTTTGGTCTTCTAGTTGGACCCAGACTGCTGCACTCACCTGTCCCTCTCAGCAGGCACCTCCATAAGTGAAGGTGACCCCTGGAGATCAGGCCAGCTGCCCTGGAGATCAGGGCAGACCATGGCAGCCTTCAGGCTATGAACTTGACTCTGGCATTTTTATCATCCTCCTCTTTGAAGAATATATACTAGTGCCATAGAACTAGGCTCATCATGGGTCTGAACCAAGTCTGGCAGTTTGGAGTGGATAGATGGATGACAGCATAGATGTGGATAGATGAATGGATGAGTAGGTGGAAGGATTGATGAATATATAGATGGGAGGAGGGATGGGTGGGTGGTGGAAGGAAGGTAGGATGGGTGGATTAATAAGTGGATGAATGGACAAAGGGTGCTGCAGTTTGGCTAAAGTTCATTTCCATCAACACACGCTGAGGTTTTATCCTCAGTGCTGGGAGGTGTGTGAGTCATGGGGTGGATTGAGTGGGTCCTTACTCTTGAAGAACTAGGTTAGAAGTTACTGCAAGTTGCATTAAAGTGGATCTACTTCCTTGTCCCAGCCTCTCTTCATGCAAGCTTCCCCTGCTCTGCCATGCACAGGACGGCCTGGGGCCCTCATGAGATGCCAGGCAACAGCCTAGAACCATTAACTGAGTAAGTCTCTCTTATTTACCAACGGCACAGTCTCAGATCAACAGAAAGAAGCCTAAGGTAGATGGACAAACAAAATGTGTGGGTGGGCATGTGAACTGATAGGTGAATGGATGGGGAGTGGATGAGTGGATGGATGGACAGGTAAGTGTGTGGAGGTATACAGACTGAGGGAACGAATGGATGGTTCAATGGATTGACTAATGACATACTGTGCTTATAATTCATAATCCCTCATGAATTATTAACTTCCTATCGGGGATTGAAGGTTTCCTCTCTTCTATATTCCAGACCACCACATCTAGGACTAAACCTATATTAAGCTCAAGTAGAAGTGGGATTGAAGGATTAATTAATGAAGCAATAAAGGAAATAAAAGCCACCCTATCCTGAGCAAACTCATGAGGTGGCTTCAGTAGTGTGTCCCCCTCCCATGCTCTCCGTACCACCATTGCCTCACCCAGGCTTGGTCCAGTGGCTCTGCCTGGCCTACCTGAGGCTGCAAGGTTAAAGCCATCACCTTCTAGGAAGAACAGCAGGTGTCACGCTGTGCTGAAGGGACATTTTGCAGGAGCATATGTGGACCTCGAGGAGCTGGACAGGAGGAAACCTGTCCCCCAGGGCTCAGGGGGCAGCCTAGTGGGGTGGCAAGGAGACCTGTGGCTCTGGCTTGCCCATGTGCCCATCCCTGGGTCCCCAAGGCTGTGGTCACCCGAGTGCCACTGACTTATAAAGTTTTCAGAGCCAGTAGGTCGAGGTGCTTGGCAAGACCAGGCAAACAGAGGTCACCCAAAAAAACAGACCCATGACCAGCCCAAACCAGAGGTGGAACTGCTGCCTGGGGCCATAGTGACATGCCTTTCGTCCAGGACAGAATCGGGGTGCTGGTGCTGGGCATCCTGGGGTGGATTCCAGGAAGGCCGCCAGCCTAGGGCTGCTGGACTCTGGCCCTCAGTCTCCACCTCTATGAAACGGAACTCCAAATCCTGCTTATCCAGCTCTCAGGGACAGGGCCTGACGCTGGCTGGGGGAGGCATGGGCCAGGCCAAGGGCAGTGTGCACACTGCAGTACCATCACCAGCTCCTCCCAAACGCAAGATCCCAGGCCAGGAGGTAACAGTCCCCCGAATGTGGCCCACAGACCCACAGCCATGTCTTCTTCCTCTCCCAGGCAGCTTGGGTGACTTGGGGACAGACACAACCAGCAGGGGATGTCAGCAGGGAAGCAACCTCAGGTACACAGTGTGGGGGCCTGGCCAAAATTTACAGCTCCAGAGAAGGTGTTTAATGGCAGAAGAGGGCAGGAGGGGGCAGGAGGGGGCAGCAGGGGGAAGGTCTGTGCAGCCTGGAAGTGGGGGCTCTCACCACAGGGCAGGGGAGAAGGGGGGAGGGCTGTAAGGGAAGGGCTGGGAAGTAGGGAACACAGGGACTAAAAGCCCAGCCAGGAACTCTGGCTCATGGTGATGACTCTGTTATGGCTCTGACTTGGTTTACCCATGTGGACACCTGAGCAACAACCTGGCCCTGCCCCGCCTCTCCCAGGAGTTCCGCCTCAGCGCTGGTAGCGGAGTCTACTGGATATCACCACGTAGCCCTGAAGAGCAAGAAAAGCACAGACCAGGTGACAGGCCACATAACAAGAGGCATCCCCTGCCCATTGCCACCCATCAGCCCAGCTCTGCCCTTCTTGGCCTGACTGGGAGCTCAGTGGCCTGCCGTGGCACTGCAGGTGGTAGCAGTGACCCCAGAGAGGCTGAGCCAGCACAGCCATCACTGCCCAAGGCTCCTAGGCCCCTCTGCATGTTCTGGAGGTTGCTGTCCTTCCTTCCTTCACTTATGTATTCATTTGTTTATTCAGTCACCAAATCCTCACCACATCTTCTACTACCATATAAGCCCTGGGGCAGGTGCTGGGATGCCAACAGAGAACCAGCTCAAGCCAGTTCCTGCCATGGGCCATTACAGCAGCTGTCAGTCACTGGTGCTAATTAGATTTAAATCATCTAATATGTAAAAATCACTGTGACCCAGCTCCCAAGTGCCTGCTAGCTGTTATGCCTGACCTTCACATCAGCCATGGCTGATCCCCATCCCCATGGAAAGTTCTATAGAACAGTACTGGCCTAAAGAGCTTTGGTTTCAGATCCTGCTGACTGGATCCGGCAGGGTCAGAGTGGGGCAGCCACTGGCCTGGCCAAGTCCTGGAGAGATGTCCCCTTGGCGCCCTGGTGCCCACTGCTCCTCCTACGAGTCTGGGTGAACAGTGCCTAGGGGCCACAGCTGTGGCAGAAGGACAACATCTGAGGGGCACGCTAGGTTCAGCTGCCTGCCTTGTCTCTGTCACGTGGAGCAGATTTCCCTGTCTAACCCTGGTGAACCAGAAGCAAGTTGTAGAATACCTGGACAGTATTGTGATTGAATTTTGCCTTGGGCCCAAAGTTTGAAACACAGGAAAAGTTCCAGAAGCTCCCTTCCTGTGCTAAGCCTGCAGAGGCTTGTCTGTATAGCTGGAAGGGCCTCCCAACGGGTCACAGCCATCCCAGGACTCAGAGTTGGAGGCCAAGCAGGGGCCTAAACCCCCTGAGTGTGCCTGCTGCAGAGCCCAATGGGCACTGGTGGTGCCCTCACACCTGTGTCTCGTGATATCCAGAACTTTCCATCTCAGAGCGGTGAAGGGTTCACGGGTAGTCTTGCTGGGAGCAGAGACCCTCCCACCACCACCAGGCCTGGCACATCCTAGGGAACCACCATGTGCCCTGGCAGGAAGGAGGACCAAGGCCCCTACCGCCTGAGCCAGCCTCCACCAAGGCTTGAAAGAGACCCCTGCTTACAGAGAAAAGCTCTCACCTCTTGGACAAAGACTTCAGGGTCGCTGTAGCAGAGGTTGACCACACCAGGGAGGGCAATGCCCAGGCCCAGGAGAGCTGCAGGGGGAGAGGGGAAGCCAAGTTTAACCAGAAGTCCTTAAGCACATCAAGGCCCTAAGCCCGCACACATCCAGGAAGTGGCTGTCATTGCCAGTTTGCCAGTATTCCCATCTTACAGATGGGAAAGCTGAGGCTGAGAGAGAGAGAGAGAGAGAGCGGCCCAGGCAAGATCAGGCAGCTGTACACTACTGTATGCCTCAATGTCCATGGGGGAAGATGAGCTCCAGCGGCCACCCCCTCGAGGGTAGACCATGGGTGGAAGGGGCCAGCAGGACAGAGGGTGGGGCTCACCGTTGAGGTGGTCCAGCAGGGGCTTCTCGAACACCGTGCCCATGAGCAAGTGTACTTGAGCCGGCTGCAGCCATGGAGCCAGGCAGACGTGGGAGAAAAGACAGTTAGACACACAGGCAGACAGATGGACGGACAGATGGATGGGGGATGGGTGGGCAGCAGAGGCACATGGGTGGAGAGGGGCAGGTCAACCAGGTCCTGGGTTCAAGTGGAGCCCAGCTACCCTGAGCCCCAGGGGGAGGTTTGGAGGCAAGCACTGACTGGCTGACTTCCATGCGCTGAGTGGCTGATAGCTGGCAGACCGCCTGCAGTCAGAAGACTCATGGACAGATTGACTGACGGCATGGCAGAAGGAGGGCCGAACGGCACACAGCCGCACAGAGGCCACAGGCCCAGCCACTTCCTGTCACAAAGTCTGACCTCTGTGGCCACTGCTTCACCACGCTCTCTGGGGTGGGGGCCAGGTTACACCAAGTCCTCACTCACTGAGCAACGTGCCAGGCAGGCAGGCCCCCCAGGCCCCTGCCAGACAGCCTGTGGCAGTCAGCAACACACAACCCCCTCCACCTCCCCAGCCCTGCTCAAGGCCGGTCACCCACACTCACATCAATGAGGCCCACGTTGGAGGAGACCACAGCAAGCTGGATGTCCCTGGAAGAGGAAAAGGAAGCTTCTGAGCAGGACCAAGAGTCTTTGCCAGCAGCCTCCTTAGCCTCCCTGGCCCGTGCAACCATTGCAAAGAGGAGCCCATGCAGGCCTTGCTTACCCCAGCACAGACGTGGTTCCCTGGAGCTTTGTCTTGGACACAGACAGCTGAAGGTTCAGGTTCACCACCTGCAGGCATGGGGAGAGCAGGGTCAGAGGGCATAGGACCATGTGGTGCCTCCCACCCATCCTCCATTGTCTCAGTGCTGCTGGTACAGCACTTGCCATGGGTCAGGGCACTGTACTGCGCACATGTACTGTAAGGAGCATATAAGAGCATCACAGGCCTCTAGCCCTGAATTCCAGCATAGGCCAGCCGGAAAGGAGCCCTTCCAAGAGTAGAGGTGCCAAGAAGAGGACTGAAGGGGACCTTGTTACTGAGACTAGAAAGATGGGGAGGAGGCCGGCACAGCCAATGCCAGGGAGGAGGAGTCCAGGCAAGCGGCTAGGACATGCAAAGAGTCTGTGGCTGACCTGTGCAGGACTATCAGGCAAGTAGAGCAAAGTGAGAGAGGGACATGTGGGCAGGGGTGGTAGCTCCTTGGGAGTGCCCCCTCTCACCTTCCCAGCCACCCAATCCCCTCCGAGCCAGCCTGCTGGCTCACCACGTCCAGGGAGAAGAGAGACTGGAAAGCTGAGTTGGAGGCCATGGCCAGGACTTCCACCAAGGGCTGCAGCCGCAGTGTGGCATTGTTGGTGTGGAGTGTAGCCACCGGTGTGGCACCCAGCCGGACCTTGAGCACCACAGGCATGGGCTCTGGGAACTGCCGGGCTATCTGGGAAGCAGAGAGGGTGTGGGGGAGGCAGGGTCTGCTGGGGCAGAGGCTGCGGGCTCCCCTGCAGTCACTCTCTGAATACAGACCCCGCCCACCATCCGAGGCCACACCTGGCCCACAGAAGAGGGTCTACCCCAGGCCCCTGGATCAGACAGGGGATTTGTCTTCCCCTGAACAGGGATTCCAGGGGTCTCAAAAATGGATTGAGAAAAGGACAAGGAGGCAGAGAGGGAGAGAAAGCATGATGTTTGTCTAGGTGGGGTATCAGGGCAAGACCTGAACCCCACTAGGGACAGACATAAACCCAGGGAAGCCCCCACCCTGGTCCCTGCAGCAACTGGGGATGTCACCAACCTCAGGGAACAGCTGGCCCAACTCAGAAGTGTTCAGCGGGTTGTCAGCCGAGTTCTGAAAGCAGCCCCGCACCATGATGGGTGTCAGAGCCACCAGCCCCGGCCACACCACCCCTGGCCTTCGTGTGTGAGAATCCCTCCCTAGGTCTTCACACAGGCCTTCCCACAGCCACCCTGCCTGCAATCCACCCTCAGTCACAGGCCTCCCCAAGCCAGTCATGGGGCGCTGCCACCCCACATCCACGCCCCCCAAGCAGGTCCAGCCCTCACCAGCTGCCCAGTGACATCCAGATTGAGAGCACCAGCCTTCTGCAGCAGCAAGAGGGCGGAGTCAAACAGGTGCTGGGAGAGGCCCACGGTGGCCATGGCATCCTTGGCACCCGCATGCCATGGCAATACAAAAGGGATAGCATTCGCAGGCAGGACAATGGGCTTGCCCAGCAGAAAGAGGGTAGCCTGGGTGGTGGAGAGCAAGATGGGGAGTAATGAGGTCAGGAGGCACCAGCCCCAGACACCAACCCTGACCCCATCCCCAGATACCACATGCCATGCCCAGGAGCTCACACCCTCACCTGTGCACAGGCACCCCCCCAGCCACTCCCCCCACTACACATGCCTCTCTGGGACTCTCCCAGGAGTCTAAGTGCTCTGGAATTCAGGAGGACCCAGCTGTGGGCTATCAAATAGGCACTCACATCGATGTCCAGGGAGATGCTGTCGCTGGAGATGGTCGGCGTGCTGACCATGCTGTAGCGAATCTGGGACTCGGGGCCCACAGGGGTGAGGCCTTAACAAAGCCACAAGGGAGATGAGAAGGTGGCATCCTTGGCACCCTACACCAATGCCTTGCCTGCCCGGCCAGCCTCTTGTCTGTCACAGAGTGGGTGTGTCTGTGTATCAAATATCTGCCTTTATAAGTTCATAGAATCTATGTGGGGGGATGTGCACCCCAATCTCTGGGCCATAGATGTTTGTGGGTGTCAGTCTTCCCAGAATCATGGCCCTTTCACAGAGATAACTTTTCTTTCTTCATTTTAGAATCTTGTTATGAATCCTACATTGTGTGATATTGACATATACATCTAGCTCTCAAAGAAAATCAGTATATACGTGTCTATATAACATTTCCGCATGAAGCAAATATAGTGAAATGTCACCCACAGTTAGGTCCATGGGTGCTCACTGAACTCTTCTTTAGACTTTTCTGTATCATTCAAAATATTTTAAAATGAAGAGATGAACCGTGCAGTTATGCAGGTGCATCCTTGGACCGCAGAGCTTCTTACCTAACAGCCTAGGTGTAAGCTGCAGGCCTGAGTGACATGGTCACTGCACCTGCCTCTCGGGGGGGCTCAATGCACCATGGTCCCCAGTCCTGAGCACCTGAGAGACTCTGGCATCCACACTCCCTTGCCCCCGCAAACATGATTCCACCTGGAGGGCACGTTCTAGTTGACACTAAGAACCTCATAATTGGAAAGCTTCACTTGATTTGACTTTTTGGATTATCTGCTGTAAGTACACAGACCCTGGAATCCAAGATTGGGTCTAGCCTCTGGAGATGCACAGATCTGGAATGAGCTGACCTTGGGGAATCTCCAATTCAGTCACCCCAAAAGATACCTCCCAGGGCTCAACCCTGATCCAGAGGCAGAGAGTGGGAAGGGTCCCAGGGGCCTCCCACACCCTGAGAACTCATAGGCTGCTCCCCTCAGTCCCAAGTCTGACCGATCAAAGTGCCCAGGTGGACGTTGAACTCCTGCACCAGGCCAGAGACACTCAGACATAGCTATAGGAAACAGAGAGAGAGAAGGAGGTTGGGAGGGAAGCAGGGGCTGCTGGCAGGGCCTGGGACTCCAGCCTGGAACCTACCCCCACCCCATCCCGACACCACTGCCTTCATATCATGCTGGGATCCCTGCCTTGCTCCACCTGCCACAGGCTGCTGAACATATGGAGCAAGAGCCAGCCCATTTCCCTTCCTGCAGGCTATCCCCACCCCAAAGCAAGTGGCCATGTGTGGATAGAGGGTGGCAGGATCAGAAACACACATCTTCTGCCCAATCCTCATGGGAAAATCAGAATGGCCCCCTGCAGAGCCCGCTCAGCATAAAACCACACCCAGGCGCCACACCCCTCCTGAAATGCATCCACTGCCCCACCCTATTGGATGTAGACTTCTAAGTGAAGCTGCCCGCCCTCCTGGGAGCCCAGCTGCAGCACCAACCTTACTGCCCATCGTTGTTTGGATGTGCGTTTGCACACGGGCTAGCAGCGTGGGGTGGGGGCTGTAGAAGACACAGGCAGAGGGGGCCTAAGCTTGGGGCCTGAGTACAGCAGGTGCCTCGTCTCAGCAAAGCCCAGGCCTGGGGAGAAAAGCCGGAGAGGCCCTTCCACCTGCTGCTCCCTGTGCTGGGACCACAAGCAACTCTGTGCCTCTCTGAGCCTGGTTGTTCTTCAACCACAAAGCAGGCATCACAATGGGGGTCTCTCAGGTCTGCTGAGGCTGTGGGATGAAGAACCTGCAGCCCCAGCCTATCTGGGACCCCCCATTCCCAGCCCTCATCAGACACCCACCTGTCTTTGCCATCAGGCACTGTGGCAGTGCCAAAGAGTGAGGAGCAGGCAGAGATGCTAACGACAGGGGTCCCAATGGAGTCCTGGGTCACGTGGGCCTCAGCCTGCAGGACCACGGGCAGCGTCAGCTCCAGTGGCTCTGTGACCCTGCGGGGGGGGGGGGGGGTAGGGCAGGTCCTTGCCTCAGCAGCGTCAAGGGACCCCACAAGTCCCCTGGCAGGGCTTGCCCTCTGCCACTGACACCAACCCAACACCTGCTCAGCAGGAGACAACCCAGGCTGAGCATGCCCAGAGTCTCCACGCTCTGCACAGGAGTGTGGGCTCAGCTCTCACTGCCAGCCCCAGCCAGGCAGTCACCATGCTGTGCCTCAGTTTTCCCTTCTGTGAAATGAGCACAAGATGAGTGGTGTCTATTCAGAGGGCTGTGTTGGGAAACAATGCCACCTGGCTCAGAGCCTGCCCCACAGTGAGCAGTCATATACCCACAGCATCGGGGAAAGAAGTTGAAGTGGGAACCTTCTGAGGACCCAGCTCCGAGTCTGAGAATTAAGTGCAGTCAACGGTGGCCCTGGTGCACAGCAGTCATCCTGAGGTTACATGTATGAGCACCTACTGTGTGCACTGCAACAACTACAGCAATGCAGGCCTTGCTGTTACCTCACCAGCCACTCTGAAAAGTGTCACGTCATTTTAGAGAGGAAGAGACAAGGCTGTAGGGTGAAGGGACTCTGCCAAGGTCACACAGCTACCAAGCCGGATCTCCATTCTCTGAGATTCTCTTTGTTCCTCTCCACTCCACCCACTCCCAGGAGACTCACTCACCGGAAGACCTTGAAAGTAAAGTTGGCTGCTGCTGACAAGTGCACCCCAAACTCGGGAATGAACTGCAGGTGGAGGCTGGGCACATGGACACTCAGAATCTGGATCCTATAGGGTGGCCCCGATGGAGACATGGAGTCAGCCCCCAGGGCAGGTGCTTCGAACCACCCCCACACTTGAGTATCATGAAGGAGGACTTTCTGAGGCCCAGAACCATGGGTGAAAGGGAGGGGTGAGCTCTCCCCAAAGGTGATCATACAAGCCCAGGTTGGAACCGCTGCCCAGAAGATGTACCCCGCCCCCACAACCTGGGGTGGGTGATCCTCAGGATTCTGGAAAGTTGGGAAGGTGGGAGAAGAATGAGCTTGGGATCCGCCTGAGGAAGACACCCCTGCCCCAGAGTGCTGAAGCCCCCTCCCACAATGGGGAGGCCACTTCCCTCAAAGCCCTTGTCTCACATCCACGTATGTGGTATGTGCCCTGTGCCCAGACCACGTGTCCTGGGTAGCAGCATGCTGGTACCTTCTCAGCTCCCGTTAGCCACACACAACCCAGCCTCAGGGGCTTTGGCCCAGTGACCCTGGGCAGGTGGCGGGGGGAGGCTGGTAACCCACATGGAGATGAAGGCTGCTCAAGTGTTTCCATTTGTCACATCACTCCTCCAGCATAGGAGTACCTGGGGCAAGAGGCACTTACCGGGTGACCTGAAGCACCTCGCTGTCCTTATCCAGGTCGAAAAGCGGAGGGACCATGATCTGAAGGGCCTGCTGTAGAGGGGCTTTCCCAATGTCTGACACTGCAGGGCCAGGGCACAGCAAGGTCAGGCTCTCCTGGCGCTACACAGCACCTTCCAGAACCTTCCAGGAAGGGGACTCATGAGCTATGGGAGCTGCGCCAGGCCCTCTGCAGACCATGCCTTTCTCTTCTCCTGCCTCTCAAAATGAGCCTGGGGCTGGTACTGGGGTACAGTGGGGGTAAGCCACTGCCTGCCACAATGACATTTGGTATCAGAGAGCTGGCTGGGGTCCTGGCTGCTCCACTTCTGATCCAAGTGCCTGATCATGGGAGGTAGCAGAAAATGATAAAGTATTTGGGCCCCTGCCACCCACGCGGGCAACCCAGATGGAGTTCCAGGCTCCTGGCTTCAGCCCAGCCCGGCCCTTTTGGGGCTTAACCAGCAGGTAGAATCTCTCTCTCTCTTTCTCTTTGCCTTTCATAAAGGTGGTGCTCTCTTAAGCTCCAACACCTCTCTCCAGCCTAGCCATCTGCAGCTGAGCTGAGGCTAGTCCTAGGGCTTGGACTTCATCTCCAGTGCTCCCCATTGCAGGGCAGGAACTCTGGGTCCTGAGGGGCCGGGTGGGGTGGACGTGTGAGAAGCTGCCCTGGCCAAGTCTTGGAGACAAACCTGCCCAAGCCTGGAAGGACCTTTGTCTAGAACAAATACAGCAGGCTCCCAGCACCAGGATCGGCTCTGGCCTCCCACCCCTGCCTGCAGGCATCACGCTCGGGCTTCCAGTGCTGGTCACGCTCCAGCACGGATCACTGGCCCCTTTCACACTCTGTCTGTCTGCCTGCCAGGGAAAGTCCTGCATGCCCCAGAGCACCCCTCTGCTTTCTTGAGTCACCGTCTGTCTGCTTCCAGTTCTGGGCCACCAAAAGTCCCTCTGTCCATAAGGACAGGGAGCCCACTGTACCCTCTGCCACCCAGACCCAACTATAAAGGCAACCCCAAGCCCCCCAGATGCAGCCAGAAGTGCATGTAGATGGCTGTGCTGGGGCTCTGCCCACATGGTGGCTTTGTCCTGTTTCCTCGATGTCCTTTCCTTGGGGGAGGGAACAGTACTAGAGGGCCATAGCAGCAAAAATCTAATGCAGGGTCATCACCTCAGGGAACCCAGGGAGGGGCTGGCTCCCTGCAGGTGTACCCCATCACACACACCCAGACACACATATCCATGTTTGCACTCCAGGCAAGCAGCCTCCCTGACCATAAGTGTGGCCACGGAATTCCAAACCCACGGACACACACTTTGGGTCAGTAACACCTCAGGCCCACTCATGCCCACTGCACAGTTGCTTGCCCCTCCCACCCTGCCCCCACATTCACATGTTTCTGGCATAAATACTCAGGGAGCAGCTCTGGCTCCAGTGCTAACTGAGTGTCCGGGACTCCACAGCAGAGAAAAATGGGGGTGTTGGAGTGAACATTGGACACAGGGGTGAAGACATTGCAGGGCCAGCTACCTCCCATAATGGGGGCCCAACTTCAACCCCAGCTCCACGCCCCACCCTAGCTGCCCTGGCCAGCAGTATCCACAGCATAGGTATCTGTTACTGCCACCTAGCGGGGAAGATGCGGATTGAACTCCAGTCTAGGGTCCTTATGGGGCTTCTGAGTTCTACGTTACACGCAGCGGCTGCAGGGGTCACACACATGCGCCTGCACGGGTCGCACGCACAGTCCTGCAGGAGTCACACACATGCACTCACTGGTGTCTCACCATAGCGCAGCGCCGCCTGGTTGATCCTGACCACCGTGTCCGGCCTGGCATTGCTGATGGTGGGAAATACCAGCAGCAGCAGGCTCAGCCCACGTGCCCCAACCATGGCTGCCCAGGGCACTGCTCCCCAGAATCTGTGGGCTGGGATGGGGACAAGCATCAGGCCAGCCCACTCCCCTCACTCCTGCCGCTCCCATCCCAGGGTGCCTCCAACCCATAGCAGCCTGGAAGGTGCAACTGCATACCCCCTCGTCCTCATCCCCGTTCTGTCCCCACCAGCGGTAATCCCAGGCCTGCAGTGCCCTGCCCTTACTTGAGGCCCAGTGGCTGTCTGGGCTGGATGCAGGACCCAGACCATGTCAGGAGGATGGCGAGGCTCCCAGGGGTCCCAAGCAGAGAATCCAGGCCCACTAGCTGGGGGCCCAGGACTGTGTCACTTGTGCTAAGGATCAGCCCAGTGCAACAGCCCAGGCCGGTGTCCATCTGTCCACACCCAGCCCAGGAGAATCCACAGTGGCTCCTGTCCTTGTCTCATCCTGACCAGGGGAGGAGCAGCCTGAAGGTCACTCAAATCCCCGGCATCTCAAGGCCTGGCACAGCCTCCATGTCTGACTTGGGGAGAGATAATCATTGCTCAGATGGGCAAACTGAGGCCTGGAAAGACAGCATTTGCCAAGGCAGAGGAGTCAAGGCCACTCCTGGGAGGAGTGTCACCCATTCCTACCTTTACAGTCGTGGAGTGGCCAGCAATGCTCTGCTCCTGGCGCAGAGGCGGAGGCTGCCTTATGAGACTCCCCAGAGCACGGGGCCACAGACAAGGGACCAGGAGTGGCAGATTTGCTTGTGGTTGCATCTGTTGTCCCTGCAAACATGGTCTGTGCCAAGCTGGGTCATCATACTTGCCACGTCGCCAGGCCCGGCTGCCAACTGCTACAAGGCCCATGGCCGGGCATCCTGGGCCATGGGGACCAGGAGATCTGTGGAATGAGGGCTGCTCTCATGAGGTGCCCATCACCCCTGCTGGGCCTTGCCAGGGCCGAGGAGGACAGGGAGGACAGGAGCAGAAGGCTGGTAGGAAGGACCTTGTAAGCCCGGGGTATCCCCCCAGAAACATGATCCTCTTAAGAGCAGTAGCAAGTTAACCGCCATCCAATCCCTATAACACACTGAGCCCTGACCCTGCCACACTGTAAGCCCTGACCCTGGTCACACTCTGAGCACTGACCTTAGCACTCAAATCAGGAAAGATGATGTCCCTGCTGTGTAATATCCCAGCCTTACTCCACAGCATATTTCATTTACACTGGACTCATATCTTTCCTCATCACAAGCTCCAAGTGCCTCTTTGGCTATAGGCTACCCACAGCACTGTGTGTGTGAGTGTGTGTGTGTGTGTGTGTAGAATTCATGTATGCACACATGTGAGGGTCAGTGGACATTAGGTCATGGTTACTGGGATGGCAAGACTGTTGCTTGAGTGGGAGTGTACACATGTGTGCATGGGCAGGCTTGGTCGAGTGAGTGTAAGGTGTTAGGTGCATGTGTGTCTAGCGGATTGTCTCTGGTATTGGGGTGTTTCCCATGTGCATACACATGTATATACTTGTGCATGTGTGTGTTTGCCTCCACCTGGACTCTGAGATCGCCACCTGGCTGCAGCGAAGTCCCCTCCACTTCTCTGCATGACTCCCAGGGCCTGCCCCGCCCCCTCACCTACTACTGCTGTGACTTCCACCATCTTCACACTGCACTGGGTCCCCACTCATGCTCACAGAGGTCACAGGGCCACTGCTGCCAAGAAGCTCCCCCTTGGACTCAAACTATCCCCCAGCTAGGGCTGCCTGTTCCAGCAGAACCTGCATGGGCTCTCTTGCAGCCTCCCCGCGGGCCTGGGTCTGTTCACCAGGCCTGCTTGCCCCTCGCTGAGGCTGAGGCCCACAGTTGACTTGGGGTCAGGGCTGCTGTAAATATTGACTCAAGTCACTCTCCGTGTTTGCTCCTGACACGAATGCTTCCTCTTCCTCAGGAATTGCACACAGGAGACACTTGGGTGGCAGCCAGGGGACACAAAATGGTGAGATCCTTACCAGCTTATCCCCCACCAAGCAGTTTGTCACCATGTGTGTGAGATGCAGCCATGTTACCAAAGCCCCCAGGACAGCAGCTGGTCCTACTGAAGCCTGCACCAGTGCCTGGAGCCCACAAGGTGCTTCACAGGTACTCACTGAGCATGTACGGTTGAGAGACCCCCAGGGATGAGTAGGGGGTCCTCTAACCTTGGCTGCAGGATCCCAGGGGTACTGCCTAGGTTTGCTGTCACTGCTATAACCACATGCCCTGGAGTTGCACCTGTAATGAGAGGTGGTCAGACACCCAAATTTGGACTCAGTGAGCCAAAATACAGAGGGTGCTTGCTGGCAGGGTGCTGTGCTTTCTGGAGGCTCGAGGGGGGCAGGCTGCCTGTTCCTGCTCCCACGGTTCCTGCAGACTTTGGCTCCTAGGCCATTCCCCCACCAGCCACATGGTCATATTTGGCTGATGCTGCCATCTCTCCAAAAACTGTGTGTGTGGACCCCTATGGTGAGGCTAGAACACATGCATAACCCAGGGTACTCTCTATCTCGAGGCTAGCACACTTTTAAATATATATTTTTTATTTAGTAGAAAAGCTGAGTGACAGAGAGAGATCTTCCAGCTGCTGGTTTCATGCGCCAAATGTCTACAATGCCCCCAGGCTGAGCCAGGCTGACTGCAGGAGCCTGCAATGCCAATGGCAGGGACACAAGCACTCCCCAGGCCTGAAAGGAAGAGGAAGCCAGAGATTGAGCCTTGTGGCTTCACCTACCCCAGGGTTGAAAAACAACACTTGGCCAGAGTGAGTGAAATCAGGCCGAGCAATGTGGAAATGCTCTGTCTTGTGTGAATACAGCTGGAAGCTTGATTCACCCCACACCTGGCGATATGCTGGGATACGGTTGGAGGCTGACAGAAGATGTGGACAATAGCAGACTTGTGACCTATAAACAGGGCATGGGATGGGGGGGGGGTGTCGCCTAGTGGCTAAAGTGGAGAAATAAAAGAAGCTCCTGGCTCCTAGCTTCGGATCAGCACAGCTCCAGCCGTTGAGGTCACTTGGAGACTGAATCATCAGATGGAAGATCTTCTTCTCTCTTCTTCTTTCTCTATATACCTGACTTTGCAATAAAAATAAATAAATCTTTAAAAGAAAAAACTACTGTCTTCAGCTATTGATGGATTCAGCTTTCTCAAACCTTGTCCTTATTTTGCTTAAGCTGGTGGGACAGGGACTTTTTAGTAGGGAAGCCATGGGAATTAGCCTGCAATTCTGAGACACCACCACTAGGGAGCAAACAAGTGAATTCATTTTAGCTTCACAGTCTGAATAATCGGGCTCTCCCTTGGCTTGGTTAATAGAAAACACTTAGAGAGTTCTACTCTGTGATGCTTTTACTTTTCATTGGTAAAAAAGGTAGAACTTTGTCAAAACAACAACACATATATGTTACCTTGTGTTACATAAAACATCTACTTGTGAGATGTATACCAATGTATACCAATGCACAACCCCAACCTCAGATGGTGATAAATTCCAGAGGACAGAAAGGATCAAGAGAAACATGAGCTGATTATTACAGCCTCGGCTGCCAGTCCCTGAGATCCCAGTGCGGTCTTCCTGCCATGGAGCCTGTCCCCATCTTAAAAATGGAAAATTAGGGGCTGGCACCACAGCCCTAGGCTAGTCTTCCACCAATGGTGCCAGCAACCCATATGGGCATCATTTTGAGTCCCAACTGCATCACTCTTGATCTGGGTCAAGACTTTGGACTCCTGCACCCATGAGGGAGACCCAAAATAAGTTCCTTGTTCCTGGCTTCAGATTAGCCTAGCTCTGGCCATGGCAGCCATTTAAGAGTGAACCAGCAGATAGAGGATCGCTTTCTCCATCTCCCTCTGCAAATCTGCCTTTTATATATAAACAAATCTTCTTTAAAACACGGCAGCCCCTGAGGGCTGGAGACAGGCAGTAACCCTGCACACCTGCTCTGTGAGGTCACAGAACACGGTTCTGCCTCAGTTCTGATTCCACAGGGCATATTCCAGAGAACGCTCCAGAGTGGTGGCAGTCACTTCCCCCTTGCCAAGCACACTTGTCCTCGAGAAAGAAACCGATGCCCCGGTCCTCACGGAGCCCCCATGGGGACCCGTGTTCCTTCCTCGATGATGTGGCCCACAACGCCCGGCAGAGGAGGTAAGCAAGGCTGCCATGGCCTGTGGCAGCTCCCAAAACACAGGCCCTCACCCATTCCATCCGCTGCAGGGACAGCTGCAGCAACCACACCAGAATGGCCAGCCTTTGGCCTGTGTTTTCCAAGCACCTACTTTGTATCTGGCCCTACACCCAGTAGGACCAGGCGTACAGTGTTGCTCCTGGCACTGGCAGAGCCCACAGTCCAGAGAGAGGCAGATACTGAACCAGGGTCCAAGAATCTTGGCCAACTTCTTCTCCCAGGAGCCTGGATGCAAGCAACAAAGATGCCAACTCAACTCAGGGTGTCTGTCTCTGGTCCCCCCAGATGAGGCATATACCCCGACCACTGGAAGTGGAGAGGAATGATTAGAACTGCCTTGGGTATGTTTTTAGTTTATCCTTAGGAATATGTAAATCATGCCACAGGGCAAATGACACATTGGAACAGGGAACATATACATATCTTCTTAATAAGCATAAACACATTGAAGATACCATTTTTAAAACATGGTTTGGAGACCACTCACCCTCAGAAACCAGGATGGGCAGGTATTTGGTGTGGGAGAAGCAGCCACTGGAAACACCTGTAGTTCACATCACAGCACTTGGGTTCCAGTCCCAACTCTGCTTCCAATCCCAGCTTCTAGCAGGGCCACACCCTTGGAGGCAGCAGGTGATGACTCAAGTCCATGGGTCCCGACCACCCTCATCAGAGACCCCAGCTGAGTTCCAGGCTCCCGACTTTGGCCTGGCCTAGCCCTGCAACCATCTGGAGAGTGAACCAGTGGATGGGAGAGGTCCGTGGTGTGGGAGTCACCTGCGCAGACCTGTGTCCG